GACTTTGGCAGTGGTGGCGCCGACACTGGAAAAAATTCTCAGGAATGACTTCAGATCAATCATTTGTGTGGTCCAACTGCTGGATTTTAACAGGGAAGGCGGAAAACTTAAAGCCATATGAGAAAGGTTGGGGGTATATTGCTCACACTTGCAGAGGGATAATTATGGAAGTAATTTGGCAAGGAAGAAACGATGCGCTTTTCAGAGGAGAACATTGGTCAGCAGAACAGGCTCAGAATACGGTTAAGCAGAAGATAAGGCAGATAATTAGAACAGACTGACAGAAGAAGGGGTTACTGTGGTTTTTGAACACCTGGGCAGCGGACAATCGGCTGACGAAAGTTACACCAGAGTCAAAATTGGAAATCGGCCTGTGGTTGAGGGCTGGAGCATTGATGACAACGGGGAGTCGTCTTTAGACGGACCCCGCTATTTGGCTAGTTAGTTTCATCCTTTATTGCTGTTGGATCCTTTATTGCTGTTGGATCCTGTCTGGTGCCGGTTCCCGAGTTGCCAAAACCCCTTACCTCTGTAGCTAGATTCTTTCTTTATCTTCTGTTGCCTTTTGGCTCATTTGTTGTCTTGAGCTCTCAGTCACTTGTTTTTTGTAGGTAGATTCCTTGGGTCTATTTGTCTTTTGGAGTTTGCAGACTGATGGGACACTGGACCCGGTTTCCAGTACGGAGCCTAAACTGGGTAATGGCCCAGACTCTTCCCGGTTGTTTGTGGAGGATTCCCGCCCTCCATCTGTTCAAATGGCAATAAATGCAAACCTTCATTCAAAAAAAAAAAAAAAAAAAAAAAGAACTCGAGTGAGGCCCGGTATCTAATTTAGGCTTGGACCCCACTGGCTGGCGGCGTGGAAAAATTTTGGCGAGGAAGTGTTTTTCAGACCCCACAGGTGTTGGAAACCATCCTGGAAAGTCGGCCCGGAAAGGAATTTCAGACCCCACTGCGGTTGGAAAGAGGTCGTGGAAAAGCTGAAGGGGCGTTTCTACTCGGCTCGCGGTCTGGAAATTTTTGGCGACGAGTTTCCAAACAGTTTCCAAGGACGGCTCCAGACGAGTAGGGGGGGGGGCATGTCAAACAGTTTCCAGGATCGGCCTGGACGTGGCGTTTTGTAGACACTTCATTGGCTGCGCAAGCAGACCATGGACCACAGCCCCCGCCGGGCTTGCCTTTTTGGGAAACACCCCAGTGCGATTTCCTATTCGGGTATGCCCAAACTTTTCCAATGCCGAAACTATCGGCCTGCGGTGGGGTCCCAATGAAACAAGGAAGAATGTTTCCAACCACGGTCGGCCATTTTTTATGGCCAACACCAGTTTCCAGCCGCCGGCCAGTGGGGTCCAAGCCTTAGGGCCTCGCCGGACGGTAGAGAACACGAACAAAAAAACGATTCCGTTTCGTGAACGCACCGCCGCATAGCACCCACGCGATTGTGGTCAGAAAGAACTCGCGAACGCTGTCAGATTCTCCGTTCGCGAGGTTTTTCCGGTTCACAACCCGTCCCCGCCTGCAACGCGCAAGAAGTCACGGGTCCTCGGTGAGGATGGTGGAGGCCCTGTGGATTCTCGCGAGTTCACCGCAAACGTCCAACCCGTGTCCGTCCAAATTCTTGGACCGTAGTCGGCGTAGTGGTTGCCAGCCTCAGGGAAACATTTGTCCGTTTGCCATCAGGGCATGGCTGCGTGGATATTCGCGTGTGCTGTCCGGCGGCGAGCGCAGAAACGCGAAATAGGGCCTCGAGAGCCCTCGCGAGTTAGGAGGCCGTTTCGTTTCGTTTTTCTTACCGTCCGGCGAGGCCCTTAGTCCACGCAAGTAGGATGGGCATGATTTTTGTTTTTTTTGCTTTTTCTCTATTTCGTTTGGTACCACTAGCAGAGGGTTTGTTTTTTTGCTTTTTCTCTATTTCGTTCGGTACCACCAGCAGAGGGTAACCGCCTGGCCACGCCACCGTCAAAATGAAAAAAAGTACGACTGTATGTTCCCACAGTGAGTGGCCAGATGCATCCATTGCCATGAAGAGTAACGGATGCATCTGACCACGTTCTGGGGAAGATGTACTGGTACTTCCTCGTTTCGACACTGGTGTGACGAGGCCCTAAGGCATCATTCTATCAGCGTCGCAACACCAGCTCCCGAATCTGACAATACGGGTCGTGTCTGATGGACATGACACCCTTTTGGTATGCCCCTTCAACGTGTCAGTTCAACTTTGGGCATAGCCACACCACTGAAAGAACGTGAACAAGACAAAACCTATGGCCGGTGTATCTTTCGATGTTTTTTGCGGAAGATATATGCACCAATTTGCACATTGCAGTAGTAGTGTGGCACATTGCAGGAGTAATGTGGCGAGGGCCTTCGCTGGGGGCCATGGTACTGCGGGCAACCCGTCTTCCCCTCAACACAATGCACCCTAATTTTGGCTGTACGGGACCGGAAAGCTACCGACTTCCCCCGAACATAACGCACCCTAAAAATGAATGTATACGAGCTATATTTTCAGCCAATACAGCCAAAATAAGGGTGCGTTGTGTTCGGGGGAAGACGGTAGCTCGTATATCAAGGTGCGGGTGCGTTGTGTTCGGGGGAAGACAGTAGGGGTCCCTAGGTCAGGGCATTGGAGGCCCAGGGGAATGGCGCAACCAAGGGCATGGCGCAAAGTTGGGCGGCAGTTCAACAGGGGCCTGGTGACAAGGTCACACAAACCCAGGGACCCCAAAACTTCGCATTTTTGAGAGACAAATCAGGAAAAGAGGGGCGAACAGGAAAGGGAACGGGGACTCAAAAATGCGTAGGCATCCACGTAGGAGGCATCAACGCAGGCATCTGCGTCCAGGTGCGTAGACGTCCACGTACGTACCCACGTAGGCATCCACGTCCAGGTACGTAGACGTCCACGTAGGCATCCACGTCGAGGTACGTGGACGTCCACGTACGCATCCACGTAGTCATCCACGTCCAGGTACGTAGACGCCCACGTACGCATCCACGTAGACATCCACGTCCAGGTACGAGACGTCCACGTACGCATTCACGTCCAGGTACGAGACGTCCACGTAGGCATCCACGTAGGCATCCACGTAGGCATCCACGTCCAGGTACGCATCCAGGCTGGGTATCCACTTAGTCATCCACGGAGGCGTCCACATGGGCATGCACGTAGATGTTGACGTAGGGATCTACGTACGCGTCCACATTAGTACGTACACAATTAGTGTTGCTCCTGATCGCTTAATTCTATTGACCAGTCAGGAAGAGGAGCCCCCACCCCGGCAGATAGGACAGGTACGCTGAGGATGACTTGTCACATATATATATTTATAGTCAAACAGAGCTGCCCGGTAAACCGTAGGCAGAAGACATATATAGATTGATAAATAGATAGATAGATACTTGTATAGATATATGACCCGCTGAAACTTCGACGGAACAGTCTGTCAAAGCCCTCCCTGCATTTCTTGTCCTTTTATCCTTTTCTGCCTACGGTTCACCATAGGTACAAATTCCCATCAGCCTTCTCAGGGCACGATCACACCGGGACCTTTTTCACTTATTTCTGGACGTAAATGGGGTGAGATACATCCACGTCTGGCCTTGAATGCGACAGATACATTTAAGATAGTGGTAGAGTGAGTACACTCTCCGGGGGCGATGATAACCTCCTCTCGCTTCATCTTTTCTCCTTTCCTTTGTTTCCCTGTTACCACATCCAAAATTCTACGACCAAAAAAACAAAAATAAAATCTACGATTGAGAAAAATAAAATAAAATTAAAAAAATCAGCTGGCTGGACAAGAATCGCCTGCATGATACCGACGAAACAAAAAGAGAAAAACTCATGGCTCCACAGGTCAGCGGGAGATCGCCTTTCAAATTAAAAAAAAAGGAGATCGCCTTTCTTTGCCTTCTGCGCTGAGCTGAGGATGACAACAAAATGGGCGCAATTTTTCCTTTTCCTTTTCCTTTTTCCTTTTTTCTTTTTTTCCTTTTTGCTTTTTTTCCTTTTTTTTCCCTTCGCCTTCCCCCTCTGTTTTTGCAAAATGACGGCAACAAAAAAAAAGACTGCAACTTCCCGTTGTCAGATTCCTCCTTTTTTTTCCTCTCTCTTCTCTCTCGAGCGAGCGAGCGAGCGAGCGCGCGCGTTCAGAAGAAGAGTAGGGGAGGGATAGTGAAAAAACAGTGACCATAGACTGCTCGTACAAGCATCGATAAGGAGATGAAAGGAGGAAAAGACAGAGAGAGAGAAAAGGGAGAAGGAGGAGAGGGAGGAAGACAGGCAGGAGCCAAGGATGGGGGGGGGGGGGAAGGAGAAAAGAGAGAGGCAGGAGGAGGAGGTGGTGGGTGGAGAGGGAGAACGAGCAGAAGGAAGCTAAGGAAGAGCGCGTGCAAACGTGGACATCTGGCCTTGTTCCACTACACAACAGTCTTTATGTTCTATTTATTTATTTCCTCAAAATTCAAAACTACACAACACTCTACATGTGTCTGGACCGTATTGTGTCCAAAGACACATTCGGTTTATTTGACATTTCGAACGTATGAGGACCATTACCAGCTCCACATACATTTAGAATGTTGTATAGTGGAGCGATGCCCATTGAAGGCGCGCAGATCCCCCCAGTGTACAACCGCTGGCACAAGGAGAGGAGAAGGAGGAGGAGGAGAAGGAGGAGGAGGAGAAGGAGAGGAGGAGA